CACCTCTTTCTCACTTTCATCACATTTTAATCTTATGGAAAAGAAGTGGTTTTAAATTCTTTTGTGATGAATTAATTAAAAATTTATTTCATAAATAAAAAAGAAAAAACTTTGGTTAAATTTGAGATTTATCAAAAATTTTTATTTCAAAAAAATTTTATTTACATTTATAAAAAATTTTAATTACAAAGAAAAACAAGAGTAAAAATTACAAAATTTTTATTTAAATTAATTTTATTTTGACACTTTCCTTTTTTGAAGTTATTGTGAAAAGATAAATTATAATCAAAAATGATTGATAAATATTTTGAAAAGAAAAGAAGAGTGAATGGCCCTAAAGTGGAAGCATATGAAATTGTAAATTGTAATTTATGTTTTTTTCTCATTTTTCATTTTATTTTCACTAAAATATTGGAAAAACATATATTAGTCAAAAGTATAAATTAGTTTTTTCTTTTTACTCTTTAATTTTTATTAATTCAAAATATTTATTTTTACTTTTTTAAAAATTAAAAATTATTTCATATATTGGAAAAGAAGAATTGAGGATTTAAGATGACATTAAATTTGTCACCCGGCATATATCACCGATATTTTAGGTTTTACTTTTCTATTACTCACACTTTTTTACACAAAAAATTTTCAGGTAAAATTTTAATTTACTTTTGGGTAAAATTTACCTATTACTGATAGAATAAGTAAGAACAATAATAATTTGTAAATTTAAGATATAACAAATTTATGTGCAAAGAAAAATAAGTAAAAGCATTTTTCTACTAAATTAGAAAAATTTAAAACTGATACTGAAATTTTTTTTTTTCGATATAAATAAAATTTAAAAATGCTTATTAGCTGAGCAATTGAAATAATTGAACAGAAATTTGTTTATTAAATTTGTAATATGAAATATTATATATTGCATGGTGCTATTCATTGATTTAATTACTTTAAAATCGACGAAGAAAATATAAACTAAATTTGAATGTTTTATAAAAAAAGAAAATTGAGAATAAATTAGAAATATATTTCGTTCCTTTTTTTTTTTTTTTTTTCAAATGAAATTTCTATTTATTTTTATTATTATTTTTCTATTTCTATATATATTTTAAATATTCTATCAAAATTTCATGTAAAATATAAATTTTCAAAAAAAAATTTTGTTTTTAGTAAAAATTAATTTTTCTTCAGTAAATAATTACATATTTGTTTTACTAATATTGCATTCATTATTAATATATTCAAATTTGTTTTTTATATATTAATTTCAGTTTTGATTAATTAATGATTAATTAATATAAAATTTGAACATTTTAAAAGTTTTTTTCGTTTTTCCTTTTTACCTCAAATAATATTAGTATAGCAATGTGAATTATATGAGAATTTCGTATTAAAAAATATTAACAAAAATTGTTTGATTATCAATTTTAAAGTAGTAAACACAAAGTAATTTGATAATCAATGATAAAACCAATAAAATATCAATTAAAAAACATATTTAGGTGACAATAACTCTTAAAGTCTCTTTGATAAATGTCACATTTTAAGGACAATTAAAAAATTCATTTGAATTATTTTTCTATTTTTTTCATTTTCTGTTTACTTTCATTTATACTTAAATATTTGAATTCTTTTATATGCAAAAATAAAATATTACTAAAAATTAATATTATATATATTTTTTAAATTGCCTTTAAATTTTAATGATATAATAAATAATGTTTATAAATTAACGACTGGAAAAAAAAATTTGTTTGAAATAGGAAAAAAAATGTTTGTATAAAATTTCCAAAAGGCTTATTGAAAAAAAAAAAAAAAAGGCAAAGGAAGTTTTTAAGCTGTGACATTAAAATTTCCATTTAAATAAATGCCTCAAAAGTAAAAAGCAAGAAGTTAACAAAATTATTATTATTATTATTTTTTTTTTCCTACACTTTCTAATCTTTTCTTTATTTTTTTTTTTTTGATACTTTTTTTTTCTTTTTGAAATAATGCAAAAATGATTTAATAAAACATTTAATTATCTAAAAAAGATGTAAAACTTTTTAATTATAACAAAATTATTTAAAAATTAACAAATAAAAAAATCAATAAAATCAATTAACAATTATAAAATTGTATTTTAAAAAAAAATTTTTTAAAAAAAAATGATAAAAAAATTTCAAAATGTCATAAATATTAAATTTTGAAATGTGAAAAAACTAAAATTTTATTGCGCTCATTTTTTTTTGAATAAATTTAAGCTTAAAATTATGCTTACGTCATAATTTAAAATTTTTGTTATCTTTTGCAAATTTTACTTTTGAAAAGAAAAATGCGAATTATTTTTAATAAAATTAATTAAAAATAATAGATGAAATTATATTTTTCAAAATATTACAAATATTACATTTTTTTTTTTTTTTATTGCACTGATCGTTTTGGAATAAATTTTCAGTGAATGAATTTCCAAAAAAAAAAAAAAAACTTTCGAGAAATCAAAACCATAAAAATATTTTACTTACTTTAAAATGTTACTTAATAAGTATAATAAAAAGGCTTTGCAAGTTTTTTTTTTATTGATGAAACAGTGCCTTAGGCATTAATGCATATCAATTTGTTAAAGCTTTTTAATACTTAAAACTACCGTATTGACTCCTTTTTATACTTTTTTTTGATATGTTCAAATTATTTTGATTTACATTTTAAAACTTTTCTTTTCATCGTTTTTTTAAAAAAAAAACGAAAAAAATTAATTTAAATATTTCTATTGAGATTTTAAAAAAAAAATAAAAAGTTTTAAATTTTAAATTAAAAAAATATTATGTTTATTTTTCCATTTTTGCAACAATATATTAACATTTATTTTTTATAAATATATAAATATTTTATTTTAAAGAAGAAAAAATTAAGAAAAACAAAAACTTTCCATCAAAATATTTTTTACTTTTTAATAGCTAATAATAAAAGTCCAATTCAATTATTAAATGATATCAATGATAAATGATAATATTAATTTATCTTAACAAAATATTAAATAATAATAATGTATTATCATTTAATTTTTCAATTTGTGTTTTTAAATTAAAAATTGAAAGATGCAAAAAAAAAAAATTATTGCTAAAATATTTTTCAATTCTGATTTGCTATAATCGAAGTGAAATTTACTTATTATAATCAATGATTCATATCTTAAAATTACTTAAATTGTTGCAATTATGAAAAAAGAAAAAAATTTCAAATTCAATTTAACAATGCAAAAGAAAAATGAGTTCGTTTCAAGTTGAAAGAAAGAAAGAAACTTAAATAATGAATGATTTAAATTGAGTATGCATAATAAGTAAGTGTAATTTGTCTCAATTACTTACTTAAAAATAATCCAAAAATTTGCATTTGAGAAAAGAAAAAATGAGAGATAATTTCAATTCCTGAATTATTTTCCGGATAATTCAGCATTTGCATAAGGAAATAATCAAAATGAATGAGAAGAAAGAAGGAAAAATAAAACGGAAACTTACCTGGTACCAAATTAAATGGTTTTTTATAATTTCGATTACTACGCATCATTTGATCAATATGATGACGTTGATATGGACGATGATGCCAGTTGTTATCAGGCATTGTATGAATTTCTTCTGAATGTAATAACCGGAAAGTATCAACCATTCAGGATTTCTGATCCTTCAGGTACATACAGAAATGTTTTATAAATCAGTGCAAGTAAATTATTGCAATAATTTAGTCGCGTAACGATTTAAAATTATTTCAACAAATTGTAAACAAACAAACAAACAAACAAAAATGCATTGTAAAATTATTTTCAAATTGTTAAAATACTTATTCAAATAAAGTAAAAATTGAAAAATGACAAAGAGTTGAAGCAATGAAATGTGAAATTTTTAAATCTTTTATTTGTAAGCAAAAATAACCAAAAAAAGATTATTTACTGAGTTAGAGATCGAATCAAAATTAGAGAGAAAAAACAAAAATGAAAAAAAAAAAAAGAAAAGAAAGAACGAAAAAAAAAAATTGACGAAAATGTCAAAAAAATATAAAGTTTAAAAGACAGAGAGAGAATGACAAAAAATAAACAAAAAATAAAATATTTGAAATATTTTAATTTCGCATTTAATTTTAAACTTATCTAACACAATTCAAAATTTATCAAATATTTTAATTTTTTACTATTTTGACTATAATTCAAAAAAAAAAAAAAAATAATCAGTTAAAATTTCAATTGTAAAAGATACTATTTTCCTTTTCTTTTTTTGTTTTTGTAAATACAATTTAGAGAAATCTAAATGAATTAAATCAATTATGCAAATATTTCATAGATTTTATTAAATATTTAAAATTAATCGTTGCCATTTTCAATTTTCGGATAATCATTTCTCTCAAATTTAATTGTCTTTTTTTTTAAAATTTATTTTGACAAATAATTATTTATAGAATAATATAAAAATTTTTTCCTTCTCAAAGCTGAAAATGTAATTTTAAAAAAAAAGTACAAAAAGTTTTTGAATTAGAATATGAAAAAATTAGCACAAAAGTTTTCAAATTTAATATGGGCAATAATAATTTTCAGAATGAAATAAATTAAAAAAAGTTGAAACTTATATAAATACTAAAATACATAAATTATACAGAAATCGAATTAATTAAATTGAAATATGAAATTGAAATACATTGAAGTTTGCTAATTGATTTGAATTTCAAAAGAAATAACAAATCTATTAATCTACTAATATAAGCATTGATATAAGAAGAAATTGAAAGATTTAAATTCCTAAATTATAATTTTAATTGTTATTTTAATTATTTCATTTATTAATTTCAAATTAAAGGAGAGAAAAAGAAACGATAGTGTTTGAAATGAATTTTTGAGCATGAAAAGAGGAAAATTATATTTGAGTTTTGCTTGACTAGTTCAATTCAATGAATTCATCACATTGACATTTTTAAAATTTGGTGTGAAAATGAGCCATGGCCTAGTATTTCTTTGGCATTGAATAAAGCAAATCATTTTAACATAGGCTGCTACTTGATAGCATTGGCCATAACTTGATAGTTCTGGCCATATTACTTGATAGCATTGGCCATAACTTGATAGTCCTGGCCATATTACTTGATAGCATTGGCCATAACTTGATAGTTCTGGCCATATTACTTGATAGCATTGGCCATAACTTGATAGTCCTGGCCATATTACTTGATAGCATTGGCCATAACTTGATAGTTCTGGCCATATTACTTGATAGCGTTGGCCATAACTTGATAGTCTTGGCCATATTACTTGATAGCATTGGCCATAACTTGATAGTCTTGGCCATATTACTTGATAGCGTTGGCCATAACTTGATAGTTCTGGCCATATTACTTGATAGCATTGGCCATAACTTGATAGTCTTGGCCATATTACTTGATAGCATTGGCCATAACTTGATAGTTCTGGCCATATTACTTGATAGCATTGGCCATAACTTGATAGTCTTGGCCATATTACTTGATAGCATTGGCCATAACTTGATAGTCTTGGCCATTACTTATATGTTGCAAAATAATTATTACTGCTTACAATATTTGATTACAAAAATAAATTTTATACTTTTAAAAAATTTTTCATTTTCTAAAATCTTTTTTTTTAAAAAAAAATAAGTTACAAACACAAAAAGAATGATAAAAGAGAGAGAGAGAGAGAGAGAAAGAGGTGAAAGAAAAAAAATGCCAAATTTACAAGAAAAAAAAAGAAACTATTGAAGAAAGTAATTTTGTTTTAAAGTTTTTCTTTTTCTTTTCGTTCCTTTTCGTTTCTTTTCTTTTTGAAAATGACAAATTGGTGCTATTGGCAAAGTAAAATAAAAATGAAAAAATCATAAAAATACGAAATAAAATTAACCAAACAAAAATGTCTTTTAATACTTTAAACTTTATTTGATGCAAAAAAAAGAAAAAAAGAAAAAAATAAAAAATTTAAAGTTAAATTATCTTTTTTCTTTTTTAGTAATTACAAGAAATAAAACAGTAAAAAAGAGGAATGAAAATAAAAATAAATAATAAAATTAAGTTAATTAATAAAATAGTAATTGTACAGTTAAAAAAAACAAGAAACAGAAAGATTACATCGATTATTTTCATATTTATTTATGTCGGTGGTTTAAATCAAAACTTGTATAAAAAAATAATAAAATTAAAAATTAAATTAAAATTAAAATGTAAATTAAAAATATAATACTCTGATTTCATTAATAAAATAATTTCATGCAAATTTCTTACATAATATAACAAAATTGTTGCCACATTTTAAATTCCCACTAAATTCCATTTCATGCATAATTCTAAATTCTTTTTAATTTAAATTTTTAAAAAATTTAATTTCCATCCTAATTTTTTCCTTTTATAAAAATTAATAATTAAACCAAACATTCAATCATACAAGAAAAAATAAAGTTCAATTTGAATTCATTATAAATTTACAAAGAAATTTCTTCGGTAAAATTTTTTGCAACAATTTTTTGTTTTTTCTTTTTCTTTACCAATGCTAATTGTTACAGTAAGCAAAAAGTTATAATTTTGAAATTATTTAATAAATTTTTAATAAATAATAAAATATTTTGTAAAAAAAAAAAGGAAAGAAGCATTTATGTTTCTTTTATAAATTGCATTCAATTTTAGAAGAAAAAAAAAAAAAAATATTTTACATTTTTGCTAATTTCATCAAAATGTGAGCATTTACTAAGCTAATTTTTCATATTTTAATTTTTATATTTTAACTTTCATATTTTTATTTTTTTTTCTTCATCTAATTTTCTTTATATTAATCCTACAAAATTTTCAGTTATTTGAATGTAAAAAAAAAATTGCTATGCAATTAACAAAATTATCCGAAATTTTTGATCAAAAAAATCAAGAAATGAAAAAAAAAAGTAATCAAAAAATTTTATTTATTAATAAAATTTCATTTACTTTGAAAATTCTTTTTTTTTGATGCTATTTGTTTGATTTCAAAAAGTTAGAATATTCCATAATATTTTTGAAGTTCCATCAATAATTTTCATTTTTAACAGAATTAATTTAAAATTAGCTATTTGATAGAATAAAAATTAAAATTAATTTTATTACAACTATTGCATTCTCTTAAATATTTCATTGAATTTGTAGTTTTTAATAATCCTATTTAATATTCTTAATTTATTTATTAAAATTTTGCATTACATTCCTTTTAACATCTTGAAATGGATAGCTAATTAAGTAAGAGATTAAAAATTTTAATTAAAAAGGAACAAAATTACATTTTAATTAAATTTCAATATCCTTTGCGACATAAACATAATAATATATTATAGCAATAAATCATATATCAGTGTTCTAAATAAGTTATAAAAATCATTTTAAATATTTATATCGTAAAAAATTTTGAAATTTTATTTAAATAAACATAGTATGCTTTAAATTAAAAATTTTAATAAAGTATTAAATTGAAAAATTTAAAAATAAAAATATCAAAAGAATAAAAATAATAAATTTTAGTTTAATTATTAACAGAAAAATAATAAATTGAAGCAATAAATCATATCACATACATATATAAATTATCATTGTTTATTCATTTTATCATTTTTCCCTTTTTTTTGTCTAAATAATATTTTCATTTTTATTTTTTAATATTATCGAACCATTAAAGAAGTAATTTTAAAAAGTTATACATAAAAAAAACTTAAAAATTAATTTACATTAAACAATCAATAAAAATTAAATTAAATTGATCAAAAATTGAGTGAGTGAAAAAAGTTAGAAATAAAAAAATTATTTTTTCTAGCAATTTTCATTGTTTTTCTTTAAATTAAAACTAAGAAAAAATTTTAAGGCAATGAATTATAATTGAAATAATTTTTAAATTTTAAACAAAAAAGCAAATCTTAAAAAAAACATTGAAAAAAAATTTTTTTCATAAAAATTTTGGCTTATAATTTTCAATAAACTATGTGTAAAATAACAGAAAAATAAATTATTTTCTTTATTTAATTCCTATTATTAATTCAATTTTTCGTTTGGAAAAAAAATTTAACAATTGCATAGTTTAAATTAAAATTTAAAACATTAAAATCATTTCATTATTTATAAAAAATGCTAATTAAATAAACTTAAAATAATTAACTGTAATGTAAAGGATTACAAGAAAGTTAGAAATATATAAGAAGCAATTAAACATATTAATAATTTAAATATTATTTAATTTAAAAATGAAAAGAATAAAAAATAAAAATGAAAAAAATGAAGGATTAAATAATAAAATCAAACAATACCCATCCATCATGGAACACTTATTATTTACCCGCCCTTCTCAATGGGTAAAATTTGTTCAAATGATTAGATAATAAGGAATAACCATTTTTTTTTTGTTTTTTTTTCTATTTTTCAATTTTAATTTCATGAATTGTTTATAGGCAGGGGCAAAAAAAAAAAAAAGAGACTAAGTTAAGTGCGTTTGCATAAATAACCAAATAGTACCTACTAGGCTACTAGTCCTACTTGGCTTGACTTGGCCTTATATGTTAAACATTCATTTTGGCCCAATCGAATAAATAAATAATCTAAAATCGGATGAATTGACAAATCAAAAAGGAGGCAAACTCATTAATCACTTATTCTTTTATATTCTAATATATAAATAAGCTTCGTTTCATACTAATCTTTAGCATACACATACAAACATGCATACATACACATACACACATACAAACAGACAAACAGACACATACATACATACAAACAGACAAACAGACACATACATAGATAAGTATGTATGTATGTATTAAAGTTTCCATTCTTCATCATTTGTATTGACAAGTTGAGATTTATTAAAAATGCAAAATAAAAATGCTAGAAGAAATTCTATTATTATTCATTGAGTTAAAGGATATTTGCATTAATTAATTAATTAATTAAGTTATTTTGTTTAGCTAATTAATCATTCATTAATTAATTTCTATTAAATAAACTATTAAAATAATTATTAAAAGATAAACAATATGAAATAGTTTTGTGCTCAATATTAATATTATTATTATTGTTATTACTATTATTATTATTATTATTATTATTATTATTATTATTATTATTATTATTATTATTATTATTATTATTATTATTATTATTATTGTTACTGTTTAAATGCAATATTTCTTAATTTTCATGGATTAATTAATTTTTTCAATTATTTATAAATACATTAAAATTTGTTAATTTTAATTTTATTATATCATTTAATTATTTTATAAATATTTATTTCCATTAATTCTAATAATAAATATTAAAATGAAACGAATATTTTATTATCAATGCAACAATTTCAACATTTCATTTTTAAATTTTATTATTAAAGTGAGAAAAAAATATTTTTTTTGCTATTGTTAAAACAGTTGCAAATATTTTTTTTGTTTCTCTTTAAATGATTTTATTTTAAAAAAAATATTTCTTTCACTTCATTTTTCATTTTATTTTTATTTTTATTTTTTTAAAATGATTGATAAATCATACATCCGTTTCTAATTAATTATTTTATTAGTACACAAAATTTTTTTTTTATTATATTAAAATAAATGTAAAAAAAAAAAGTTTTTTTTTCTCATTTTAACATCTATGTGAAAATTTTTAAATGTTTGTATTACATTTCAAGGGCAAAAGAAAAAAAAATTTGCTGAAAATTTGCTGAAAATAAAATGAAAGAATTTATTAGTTTTAATAAATAATACTTAGTACTTTAAAATGAGAATATCGAACAATAAATCTTAATTAAAAGTTAAGAGAAAGTAATGTTAAATCATTTTTAACACAATCATTCATAAGTAACAAAATGATTATTTATCATTATTAAATTGAAAATATTACATTTATCAAATAGAAATGAAATTGTTCCTTTAAATAAAAATTTTCAATAAAAAAAAAAACAATATGATTTGATTTTATGTTTAATATTGAAATATCAAAATTCATTTTGAAATATCAAAAAAAAAGAGAAAAAAATTAAAAACGAAAAAGACAGAAATAAAAATCATTTGTTTGAATTTTATTTAATTTTCTATTTTAATTATAATATTATTGTTGTTTTTTTTTCATGAATGGACTAATTAATTAATTTATTAAAGTTAATTAATATTTCTATTCGTTTTTTTTTTTTGTTTTGTTTACACATAACTAAATAATAGTAATAGGAACATTTTGAATATTAATTTGTTAAATAATTAGTAAACAAAACAATTGTTTTTTTCTTCTCTCTCTCTTTCTCTCTCCCTCTATTCCAATACTTTTACTTTATTCATTTAAATTTTTTCAACCTTACAATTTTTATCTATAAAAGTGAAACAAAGAGAGAGAGGGAGAGAGAGGTAAAAAAAAAAAACGAAACAAAAAGATGAAAAATAAAATTTAAAATATTTTAAGCATAAATCAAATAGATATTTACGAGGTATATTCTAAATGAAACTACAAATATTTATGAAAAACTTATATTAAAGTAATTTGATATGCAAAAGGTATCATATTACCACATGTATCATTGATAAATAAATATCTTTGCATATTTATTAATATGTGTATATTTAAGTTTATAGAAGATCAATATATATATTATATCATTTATAATAATTATTTATCAATGATAATAAATAAATATATAAATATAAGTATTATTAATATTGCATAAATAAAAGTAATAAATATATAATAAACAACAAATATAAGTATTATTAATATTTGCGTAAATAAGAAGAAAATATAAATAATTAATTTTATTATTTAAGAAATAAAAAAAAGAGATAAAATTTTTATTGATAATTAGCAAATTATATCAAACTTACCATCAAATGTTTCATTTCCATTTTGTTTAGCAAATGTTCCAAATTCAGATTTGTTTAAATATTTGTATTCTAATTCTTTTGCTCGTGTATGATTTACTTTTTTTGGTATAAAACTCTATAAGATAAATTGCATTAAAATTAAAATTTATTAAATTTTATATTTTAATATTATTAAATAAAAATAATTCGAGCATTTTTGTTTTTTTATAATTTAATTTATTAATTGCATAAACTTATGATACCTTAAAGTAATAACAAAAAAAAAAAAAAAAATGCGAAGAAGAAAAAAATAAAAATTATTGTCTTTACGGGTTGTATATGTTGTTCCTGAAGCATTCTAAGCCGGAAACTAGCATGTGGTCCACGAATTGCTTCCTGATAATGCGTACCGAAAGATTTATATCTATCAGTACGTGTTTTCAATTGTTGATTTATATTTGCATCAACTGAACTTAAATTTTCCATCGGTTCCATCGCATCATCACTTTCATCATTTCTCAATGTTTGCTTTTGCTAAAAGTTAAATTCATGTGATTAATGATAATAGTAATAAGAACAGAAGTAATAATAACAGTATTAATAGTAACAATAATAATAACAGCAGTAATAATTACAGTGATAATTGTGACAGCAATAATGATAACAACAGCAATAATAATCACAGTAATAATTATGGCAACAATAATAATTATTATTAATAGTATTAATAGTAACAATAATAATAAATTAATAGTAACAAATAATAGTATTAATAGTAACAATAATAATAACAGCAGTAATAATTATAGTAATAATAACAATAATAATAATTATAATTATGACAACAATAATAATATCAACAGCAATAATAATTACAGTAATAATTATGACAACAATAATAATTACAGTAATAATTATGACAACAATAATAATTATAGTAATGATAATAGCAACAGCAATAATAATTACAGTAATAATAATAACAACAATAAATTACAGTAATAATAATAGCAGCAGTAATGATTACAGTAATAATAATGAAAACGATAGTAATAATATTAAGAACGACAATAAATACAGTAATGATAATAGCAACAACAGTAATAGTTCATCTAAAATTTTCCTTTATTTTAGCATCAAAATTAATCAAATATATGACATAACATTAATATTATCTGTAATAATAATAGCAAACAATAATAGTGATAATAATAAGTAATAATAATGATAATAATAAACAATAATAATGATAGTTCATCTCCGAAATTTTGCTTTATTTAGACATCAAAATTAAGAAAATAAATGATATAACATTAATATTATCCGTTAAAAAAAAATTATTTAATTAATTAAATATTATAATTACTTATTATTTAACTTTTTTATCACTGTAAAATCACTAAATATATGCTTGCAATAAGATTTGATAAGATCGCTTAAAAATGCTAAATTATTATCTAATTTAGTTTAATTAATTGGATGAAAATAAGTGTAATAAAAAGAATTATTAAAACATACTGCTCGACTTGATATAGCTGCTGAACTTTGAACTCTTGACAAAGATGATGACATGATCGGTGATGAAGATTTGATCATTTTAAATGATTCCCTTCTCATTCTACTTGTATTTTTAGCTGATGATTTATTCATAATTGTTGCTGTAGCAATAATAATTACAATTAAATTTTACACAAATTATATTTTAATTCATTCCTATACGAAATTTAATTCAATTTTAGCTTTCAAATATTTCTATTTTTTATTTTTAGATAAAACATTATGAAATAAATTATATTTTAGTATGCTTGAAAAAAAGAATAGCAAATAGAAATAAATATAATATACACGCATATACTTTCATCAAAAATTATTCGTAATTAAGCAAAGTAATATTTTTATAATTTAAAATTATTAATATTTGTTTACATCCATTACGTAATTATAATGTTAACTAATGATTAAACGTAACATTTAATGTTAGCAAGAAAAAAATTTTTTTAAATTTAAGAGAAAAAATTAATTAAATTGTAATTACTTAGTGATAAATTAAAAAAAAACTGAACAAATATTATTTTAAACTAATAAATTGTAAAATTAAAAATGTTTGAGCAATTAATATAATATTATAATACTTTAATAAAAATTTTTTTTAATTTAATAAATTTTTTTTTAATTTTAATTTAATTTTAAAATGGATAGAATTTTACACTAAATACTATTGTTCTAATGAGCAATTTAACTAATTAATTCTAAATGAACAAAACTTTTTTTTTTTTTTACTAATTAATTCTATGAATAATAATGTACAATTAAAAATAAGCAAATGATTAATTAATTTTAAAATTTGAAATATTATTTAATAGTTTCAGGAAAAATTATATATATTTGGTTATAGCTTAGATAATGAAAACTTACACAATTAGTTTTAACTTTCATTTTCTTAAATATTTTCATTACTTCCTTTTAATTTTCAATTATTTCTACTTTTTTTTTAATCTTTTCTTTTCTTTTTTTTTGCATTTTCTAGTATTATTCTAAGTTACATTATTGAAATTTATTTGAAAAAAAAAAAAAATGAAACATTAAAATTTGATTTGAAATTGAAAGAATTAATTTTGCATTAAAAATTTTAAATTATTCATAATTTTTTTCACTTATTTTAAAAATATCAAACTGAATTATTTAATTATCAAATCAGAAATGCAAACTAATTATTCATTTTCTTATTCAATTTAAATATTATATCGTTTTCTCACTTTTTATTATTATAAAATAATTTTTTTTTTCTAAAAAATAAATTTGAAAATTTTTATTTTTTTTTTTGCAAAAATAATAAAAAATGTTGAATAAACAAATTTTTGCACTAATAATTTAAATGAATTATTCTCATTCTTTTAAGCAAAAAATGAAAATAACAATATTCTAACCAGGTGTTTGGCCTAGCTAGAATATTATTATTTCTAACTTAGCCTTAACTAGGCTTAGCCTAGATTTGGCCTAATTAGAATATTGTTATCCAATGTACAATTATTGAGTATTTGTTGGCTAATACTTATTATTTTTCTTAATTACTTTTATCGAATATAGAATACAACTTTAAATATATTATAATTATATTTTGAGCAATCTCAATTTGATCGCTTAACACAAACAGAATTGATAACAGTTTTATCATTTCTGATTATATGAAATGAAATTAATTTGAAATTACAATTAAGTAAACAATAATTTTTACAAAAAAATTGTTTTGTATTTTAATTATTTCAATTATTTCAAGTACTAAATATAAACATTACTGTAATAATTGAGAATAATTATTACTAATAATATTAATTACATTATTATCAAATTTGAATTAAATTTTTGCAAAACAAAAGAAAAATAAAAATTTCTGAAAAAAAAATGAAATGAAAATGAAATATAAATAAATAATCGATTTCTACTCTCAGAGAAATTATTTTTTTAATTAAAATGAGCGAAATAAATTGAAAATTTGTTTTTCGGTATTTTTCATTTATCACTTTTATTAGTTTCAGACAATATTAGGTACTTAAGTACTTGAGTAAAACATTTGATAAACAATTTGTCAAAAGCATTAAATATTATTTTATTAGTCAAAATTTTACAAGTTAAAATTCAAATTAATAATAAAATGTCAATTTAATAAGTAATTCAAAAATTTTAAAATCAAAGTTTATAAAAAATAAAACTAATAATTTTCATTTTGTTTTCAACAAATAGAAACAATACTTTTTTTACTGAATGAAAATATTTCTATTAATCAATTTGAAAAATTTTGTTAGTGCAATTTTAAATTCTCTTTTTTCTTTTTTGAAGTTTGTTGAACGATTTTCTTTTTTATGCAATTTTGCTGCAAACTTTAACTTTCTGTTTCTAAAAATATTTTTTAATTAATTATATAGGAAAAAGATGAGTTAAAAAAAAAATTAAAATTTTAATTTTACAAAGTTTTGTTTGAAAAAAAAAATAATTACATCATAGATTAAATAAATATTTTGATAGCTAAAAAGTATTACTAAAACTTCTAACTGTTAATAATAAAAATAAATTTTGAAGAAAAAAAAAATTTTCTTTTTTATATATGAGCTAAATGTTTCCGTAATTTTGACAAAGTTTATTTTTTTTTATAATTGAGATTTTGTTTTAAATCTCTTTTTTTTTCACTTATAATTTAGAATTTTGATTGAAATTATCCAAGTAGTAATTTAAAATTTGTTAGATATTTAAATTTTACAATCAAAAAAATTTAATTTCGATTATTAAGTATTAAATTTGCAATTATTGTCTTGTAAAAATATAATTTTGTTAGTTAAAATTATGCAGCAATAAGAAGTATTGGAATTATTACCATGGTAACAACAACTAAGAAAATATATTTCTAACAGCTAATTTCAGTTTAGCAAACTAATCAATAATTTAAATTTCATTCAAATTCTCTTTGAAAATTCTTTGCATTGAAACAAAATTTGAATGATATTTGTATATCTAAGCAAAAAGGTTATATTTTTATTCATTTAATTTTCGTTTTTTTTTTAAAAAAAACAAAAAAAAGTTTAAAAAAGCAAAAAAAAAAAAAAAAACGAAATAAATAGGAAGAAAACTAACTTTCATCAATATTTACATCAGGATTTTAACAATTTTTGCTAGATAAATGGTAAAAGTTGACATCCTTAAGTGTCTCATTTTTTTGGTGACATGGTGACATTTTTGTTTTTGGTGACATTTTTGTTTTTGGTGACATTTTATTATGATTTTATTATGATTCTTTCTTCTGTTTTTTTTTATCACTGATTAAGAAATGGAAGTTTATATGAAAAAGAAATGAAATTGCTATTCAACTCATCTCTTGAGAGTGCATTTGTTTGATTGATAGCATATTTTATTTGCAATGAAAAAAAAAACAAAAAAAGAAAAAGAGAAATTTTTTTTTTTGCTCTTAAATTTTAATAAATCAAAATTTTAGGTTAAAATTTGAAATATTTTAGATTTCAATTCCAAATAGTACTAAACTATATTGTGTATCATGGATGAAAACATCAGGATATATTGCAACTGGTGGAAATCAAGGATTACTTAAAATTCTTAAACTACCATCAAATTCCAGTTAGTGCCTTTTTTTACTTTTTTTTTCTGTTTTAATTTCTTTTAAAAATTATTAGAATTGAAATAAAAAACAATACAATATTTCCACATTTATTCTTATATTTATTTTATTTATTTCCAATATTTTATAAAATATTTAGTATTTTTTTTTTTCAAATTTCTTCTTCTTTCTCAAAAAAACTTCAATTGTAAAAATTCTTTTTTTTTAAATTATTTAACTTTAAAATATATTACTTAAATATAAATTACAATTAGAATAACTTCAGACAATAACAATGCTTCCTCAATAACAATTTAATTGTAAAAATTCTTTTTTTTTTTAAAGAAACAATATTTAACTTTTAAAATATATTACTTAAATATAAATAATAGGTAAATAAACAATTAGAATAACTTTTGCAGACAATAACAATGCTTCCTCAATAAGAACAAAAAAACTTTAATTGTAAAAATTCATTTTTTTTTAAAGAAAAATATTTAACGTTTTAAAATATATTACTTAAATATAAATGATAGGTAAATAAACAATTAGAATAACTTTTACAGACAATAACAATGCTTCCTCAATAAGAACAAAAACTTTAATTGTAAAAATTCATTTAAAGAACATTTAACGTTTTAAAATATATTACTTAAATATAAATGATAGGTAAATAAACAATTAGAATAACTTTTGCAGACAATAACAATGCTTCCTCAATAACGACAACAACAACAACAACAACAATGTCAACAAATTTATCAATGAATCAAAATTTAGATGGACATTCGAATGTTGTTCATATAGCAGAATGGAATGAATGCTATCAGAAGTTGACAACATGCGACAGTAATGGTTTGATAATTGTTTGGTTGACACAAAGTGATAGTTGGTATGAGGATTCAACAAAAGGAATAAATCAGTTGTGGTTGGTATGGCATGGAGTCATAATGGTAGTAAAATTGCAATCGCTTATGAGGATGGTTTGTCATTTAATTTTTAAAAAAAAATTTTTTATTTTAAAATTTCAATTAGTCGTTTTTAATTTTTAAATTTAAATATTTTATGGTGAAATCGTTTAAAATTAAAATTAATCATTTATCATTTAAATACTATTTACATTTTAAGTATACTTTTTTAATTTTTGAAATAAGTAATACCTATCATAATATGATATTGAAATAAGCATTAATTATTTTACTACAATATTATGCAAACAAGTAATACTTATTTTAATTTAGGTATTTATTTTTAATTTTTGAAATAAGTAATACCTATGGTATTAAAATAAGTATTAATTATTTTACTACAATATTATGCAAACAAGTAATACTTATCTTAATTTGGATATTAATTTTTAATTATTAAATTAAGTAATACCTATCATAATATGATATTGAAATAAATATTAATATTATGCTAACAACTAATACCTATTTACATTTTAAGTATAAATTTTTAAAATAATTAATACCAATATCATAGTATTATATTAAAATAAGTATTAATTATTTTACTACAATATTATGCAAACAAGTAATACTTATCTTAATTTAGGTATTCATTTTTAATTTTTGAAATAAGTAATACCTATCATAATATGATATTGAAATAAGCATTATTTGTTATGCTACAATATTATGCTAACAAGTAATACTTATCTTAATTTAGATATTAATTTTTAATTATTAAATTAAGTAATACCTATCATAATATGATATTGAAATAAATATTAATATTATGCTAACAACTAATACATATTTACATTTCAAATATAAATTTTTAATTTTCAAAATAAGTAATACCAATATCATAGTATTATATTAAAATAAGTATTAATTATTTTACTACAATATTATGCAAACAAGTAATACTTATCTTAATTTATATTCATTTCAATTTTAAATATAATTTATATATTAATATTAATTATTTTACTACAATATTATGCAAACAAGTAATACTTATCTTAATTAGTATTATAATTTTGAAAATAATATTATATATTAGAGTAAATTATATTTACTAAATATTATGCAAACAAGAAATACTTATCTTATTGTAGTATTATAATTATAAAAGATTTTAAATTCGATACTATTAAATAATATTGAAAAAAAAGAGAAATAAAAATTGTTTGAAGCTGATTTGAAGAAAATGGTAGAAAATGATGGATGAATGAATGAAACGAATTGTATAAAAATGCTGAAAAAAAATAAAATTAATGAAGAAATGGAATAAATGGAAAAAGCTCAAATAATGCACTAATTTTCATTTTTTTAATTTAAAAATGAAATTTAAAAAATTTTAATGAATTAAATTTTTTTTTTTAACGAATAGAACAGATTTTGAAAAGATTTATTGTTTTCTCTTTTTTTTTACAAAAGAAATGTTTACAAAAAATTTAAATCAAAAAAAAAAATCAAATCAAGAAAGAAAAATTTTTTAAATCGAGAATGATCACAAAAAAAAAAAAAAATTAGATCAAAAGAAGCATTTTTTTAATTAGATAATATATATATTATTGATGTCTTTTTTTTTCTAGAAAAAAAAAAGAAGCAAAATTTTAAATTATAATTTTTTAATTTTATTTCTTTTAGGACAAGCAATTGTTGGTTCGGTTGATGGGAATCGTTTATGGAATAAAAATGTTGCAAGTAATTTGGTGACACTCTGTGTAAATCTTTTTTTCAAAATTTTAATTAGCAAAAATGTTTGATAATTTTGATAGATCAAATTTTATTATTAAAAGAAATGAAAAAAAGATAAGAAAACAAAGAAAATCACATAAATAAAAGTTTTTCAATATTTTTGAGATTATTTTTGTATAATTTTAAGTTCTTTTCTAAATACTATAATTAATAAAAAAAAACAAAATAAAAATAATTTATCATTGATATTATAAGTGTAATATTAAAATTAAATTTTATTTGAAATTTTTTCAAATTAAATTTTATTTGAAAAAAGTTTTTTGAAATTTTTGAAATTATTACAGTGGTCAGGTGACTCATCATTGGTACTATTCGGCTTAATAGACGGTGAAATACAGTCATATGATGCGACAGGTGTATTTATATATAAATTACGTATGGCTTGCATAGAAAATGTTGAATTGGAAACAGCTTTAAATAGTAAATTATTTGTATTTTTTGTCTAATTGAAAATTATTTCAACTATATGTCTCATTTGCTATGTTAAAAAGATTACTTTCAAATTGATAAAAATAATTTAAATAAATAAAATTTGTTTCTTTTTTTTTTTAATTAAAATTTTATTTTAGAAGATTTACGACGTATTACAATTGTTTCGATGGAATGGTTTACTCCATTAACTCAAACAAATGAATATTCAAACAATTATCAAGTTAATTTTAATTAATTTAAAATTGACAAAAACAAAAATATAAGCAAAAATTTTGTAATTTTTAAATTAATTAAATGTATCATACAAATAAAATATAAATTTAAATAATAATTTTTTTTTTTAATATTATGAATTTTTTTCCTTAAATTTCTCTTTTTCTGCATTATTTTAATCGTTATAATGTATTAGTTTCAAATCTAATTGCAAAATTTAATAATTATTAAATTTTTGTCACTGCGACGATGTCATATCCCGGATGATCGACCGCGATTTCTTGTTGCATATAATCATGGTATCATACAATTAATGCGACATGAAAATGATTCAAGTATTTAATATTTAATAATTAATAATAGAAATAAAATATGTGCATAATAGAATTTTAACATAATTATTATTTTTCTTTTTTTTTGATAATAATTAAAAAATTAAAAAATTTTATTTTTGTATATTTAAAATGAATATAATAATTATAATTACTAATTTAATTTATGCAGATCCAGTTATCATAAAAATACCAAATATGATAATTAGTAAGGCACGTTGGTCATCTGATGGTTCAATGATTGCAATTTGTGGTTTACAAACAGATTTAGAAGATGAAAAATGTATGATACATTTTATAACTGCTTATGGAGAGGTAATTAATTTTATTTATTTATTTTTTTTTTAAAATATTGATTACAAATATATAATTTTTGTTATTTATTTTTTTTATTGAATTATTTTTTCATTCAATTATTTTAATAGTTTATTACTTACAAAAATTACAAAAATTTAAAAAAATATTCTTTTAAAATACAAGTATTTTTGTTTTCTTTGATAGTATAAGGAAGAATAAAAGAAGAATAAAAACATTTTTATGTTTTATTTTTAAAAAAAAAAAATTTATCATTGATTACAAATATATAATTTTTGTTACTTATTTTTTATTGAATTACTTTAATAGTTTATTACTTACAAAAATTACAAAATGTTAAAAAATATTCTTTTAAATTAAAAATATTTTTTTTATCGTTTTTTATTGAAATTAATTATTTGATTGCATTGGAAGGAAGAAAAGTACAAAAAAGAAAAAAAAACTTTATGATTAAATATTTTAAATTTTATTTCTGAAAAATTTTTTAAAAATTATTTTATTCTCTTTTTGCATATATTATTTGATATTTTTCAAAAAATTTTTAGCCTTTAAGAAATTTGCTAGTACCAGGACAAGCAATTACTGATATATCATGGGAAGGTGATGGCTTACGACTTTGTGCAGCAGTTGATAGCCATTTATTCTTTGCGAACATTCGACTCGATTACAAAGTGTGAAAATATTTATTACAAATTATTCCATCTAAATTAATTTAAATTATAAATACGAGCATAAACTTGAAAAAGATTTAAAATCTCAAAAGTAAAAAATTAAATTTAATTTATACAAATTAATGTTTCAATCAATAAATTGTTAAATTTAATTTATTATTGATAATAAAAAATTAATTCTAATAATTTGATTATTGAATTAATATTTTTGATCTTTCTCTCTCCTTCTCTTTTTTTTTATCTTTTTTTTTGAAATATTATATCCATAAAAAATGAAAGTCCAAATAAATTGATTATCTGCAAGAAATAAGTCAAATTAGATATAAGTAAGTTAATTTTAAAATGGCATATAAATTATGCTATGATAATTTTCAAAAAAAGAGAAGGAGAGAGAGAAAGAGACAACAAATTTTTTGAATTCTTTCAAAATTTTATTTTTTAAAATTTCATTTCATTTTTCTTTTTTTTTTTTTTCAGTGGGCTTATTGTGGTCATACAGTTATTTATTCATATGAAAGAATGGAAAGTAAAGAGCACTGCGTGATTTTTTCAAACAAAACTTGAAGAAGCTTATTTACAATATGTCAAACCAATAGTTGCATTAGCATCTTCAATGAACATTGCATCTTGATAACACGTGTAGAGAATCAAATTGGCCAGGTTTATTTTTCTTTTTTCTTTTCCTTATCACTTATCAATGAATGAACATTGCATCTTGATAACACGTGTAGAGAATCAAATTGGCCAGGTTTATTTTTCTTTTTCTTTTCCTTATCATATCAATGAATGAACATTGCATCTTGATAACACGTGTAGAGAATCAAATTGGCCAGGTTTATTTTTCTTTTTTCTTCTCCTTATCACTTATCAATGAATGAACATTGCATCTTGATAACACGTGTAGAGAATCAAATTGGCCAGGTTTCTTTTTTTTTCTTCTCCTTATCACTTATCAATGAATGAACATTGCATCTTGATAACACGTGTAGAGAATCAAATTGGCCAGGTTTCTTTTCTTTTCTTCTTCTTATCACTTATCAATGAATGAACATTGCATCTTGATAACACGTGTAGAGAATCAAATTGGCCAGGTTTCTTTTTCTTTTTTCTTCTCCTTATCACTTATCAATGAATGAACATTGCATCTTGATAACACGTGTAGAGAATCAAATTGGCCAGGTTTCTTTTCTTTTTCTTCTCCTTATCACTTATCATAATTATATGTTATCATTATTGATCTAATCATTCATTGTGATAAATAATCAATGAAATGTTACAATGACATTAAATGAAATTTACTTTAATTGAAGAAACAACAAAAATGTAGTTTAATTGTTAGGAAGAAAATAATTAAGCAATTAATTATTTAAAAAAAATCTATTCTTTTTTAATATTTATTTACAAATGACACAAAAAAAAGATTGAATTTTTAAGAAAGAAAATGTAATTATAATTAAATAGTTAATTAAGAAAAATTAAGTAATTATTTATTATTAAATGATAAATTTGAAGAAAATTAAGTAATTAATTATTTGAATATATTTTTCAGTATCTTATGCAAATTTGCAATGGTATTGGAACAACAATCGATTCCAAATATATTAATTTAGAGCCAAAATATGTGGCAATGAATGATTCTGAAGTTGTAATTGCAAATAATTTATCATTTACCATTTGGCAGTATAATATTCCATGTGTTATAAATAGAGAAATAAATGTAAATGTTGACGATTCAATGACAAATGATCAAAAGTAAATAAAATTTCATTTTGATAATTTTTTTTTCTTTTAATTGAAAATAAAATTTTAGTCTTTTTGATATTTTAATTCATTTTTAATAATATTTCTTTTATTTTTAACTTTCTATTATTATCATCATAATCGATAAATTAGTGATTAAATTAGTGATAATTATTTCTAATATTTTGCTTTTTTATTCTTTTCTTTAACATATTTAAAAAATTAATGAAATTTTAGGTTATATTATGTTGATGAAAATGATGAAATTGATGTCACATCATCTAATATTATGCGAGGACGAATACAAGTAATCAAATTTTTGAATTGAATAACAGAATACTTAATAATGTTACGTATTTCATTTCTAATTTATGTAGATATTAATTGAATTAGTAATTAAGTATAAATAAACATTAAATGTTACGTTAGAATTAGTAACTTAGCATAAATGAACGTTGAATATTACGTTACACGTGATTAGATCAATTAAATTAATTAGTGATTAGGTATAAATAAAGCGTTGAGAAATACGTTACACGTAATTAACATAATGAAATGAATTATAGGTATAAAGAAGCGTTAAATATTACGTTGCACCTAAATAACATAATCAAGTGAATTATTGGCTAGGTATAAATAAACGTTGAGAAATACGTTACACGTAATTAATATAATGAAATGAATTAGTAATTAGGTATAAATAAACGTTAAATAATACGTTGCACGTAAATAACATAATTAAGTGAATTAGTAGTTAGGTATAAATCACGTAATTAGCACAATTAAATGAATTAGTAGTTTGATACAAACAAACGTTAAATATTGCGTTACAACGTTAAATATTGTTAATTAGCATAATTAAATCAATTAGTAATTAGTTCCAAATAAGCGTTAAATATTGCGTTACACGTAAGTAACATAGATAAAATGAATTTGTAATTAAGTATAAATAAGCGTTAAATATTACGTTACACGTAAATAACATAATTTTTGTCCAAAAAATTTCAAATAATCATTGCTCAAAATTTATTTCAGCGGCAGAGAGATGAAATATGTGCAATAGGAATCTCAAAGGAATTCATTCTCGTTGTAAGTGTTTAAATCAAAATTTTGTTTTTAACTAATACTTTTCAAAATATTTTCAAAAATTGGTTAAATTAATTTTATGCATTATTATCAGTCAGTCATTCTCATTCATTTCAGTAATTTTATTAAATTTTTTCTTCTTTGCTACTACATTTAGCATATTTATTTTAACATTAATTTTCCTTTTTTTTTTTTTATAAATGTGAAATTTTTAATATAATTAATAAAAATTACAATAATATAATATTATTGACGTAAATTACGTGAACTAAAAGTAAAACGTGATTGCAGTGTCGAAATTCTGGCGTAGCAAATTATTATTCACTGCCAGAAATCAAATTACAATCAGTTCTTAATTTGGGTTGTCGAGTTGAAAAATTAGAATTGAATTGTAATGGAACTCGAATTGCTGCACTTACTGCTAAAGGATTAAAATTATTTGAATTACGTGATAATATTGTAGTATCATTGTATCTTGAACGAACTGATGCATGGAATATTAAGTGGGATTCGGTAAATATTTTAAAAAAAAAAATTTTTCTTTTTAAATTTTAATTTTCAAAAAAAAAAAGAAAATTTATCAAAAAGGAAAGAAATTTTAAATTATGCAATAATTATGAATGAGAAAGGAAAGAAAGAATATTTTTTTTTTTCTTTTAATATATTATATTTTAACCGTAAAATTTTTTCTTTCTTTTTTTTTCTTCATTTAAAAAAAAAAAATTGAAATAATAAATGAAAAAGAAATTTTTGTAAAAATGTCATTTTAGAAATAGATTTTGTTTAATTTAAATTGTTTAAGTAAGACTAAAATTTGCTCAAATATATTAAAAGAATAAGAACAAAAAAAAAAGAAAAAAGGATAAATGGATAAACATATTTATAAATCAAAATTTATATTAAAATATAAAACAAATTTGTGTACATCAAATAATCATATGTTAATTAAGTAAAAAATTTAAATATTTAAATTTATTAATTCATTCAATTTGTAATAATTATATTTTATAGGAAAAAGATGATACAATAGCAGTAATGGAGAAAGCACGATTGTATGTTATTAGAAATAAAGAAATTGAAGAACCAATTATTAATAATGGTTATATTTGCTCATTTAAAAATTTGATCGTTCGTACCGTACTTCTCGATGAATTAATGAAAAATCCTGACACACCGCATAAATCATTCATCATTGATGTTGAAATTAAAGTAATTTAGTAAATTAATATTATTATTTATAAAAATAATGCAATTCACTGATATCAAAATTAAAGTAATTTAGTAAATAATAGTATTACTTATAAAAATATTGCAATTCATTGATATCGAAATTAAAGTATTTTAGTAATTAATAATATTACTTATAAAAATAATTGAAATTATCGATGTTGATTTTTTCATTTATAAAAATAATGCAAATCATTTATGTTAAAATTAAAATAACTTAGTAATTAATAATTTTATTTACAAAAAATAATGCAAATCGTTGATATTCAAATTAAACTAATTTAGTAATTCATTTTTAATTCATTTTATTATGAAATAAATTGTGCAAATTAATGCAAATTAATGAATGCAATAATATAATTTTTCATCAAAAAATATATTTATCAAATTGCTATTAGGTAATTAAATTTTTTTATTTTTTTTTTTAAAATTTTGTTTTTTTGCAGTTACTTCGAAATGCGAAAAATCTGTTAGAGAAGATGAAAATTGATGAAGCAACAGCATTTATCGAAAAGAACAATCATCCAAAATTATGGGCATTACTAGCTGAGGTAGCATTAAAACGGTTAGATACGGTTATTGCGGAACATGCATTCATAATGCTGAAGGATTATGCCGGAATACAACTTATCAAACGGATTGGTAATTTACAGGTATCAATAATTATACAATTTTACTCTTTCAACTTTTAATTCTATTTTAATCTTTTTTTTTCGATATTATTATCAATCATTTAAATTACTTCTGAGTGAAGAAAAAAAAAATTTAAAAAAAAATTTAAAGGATTATGCCGGAATATAACTTATCAAAACGGATTGGTAATTTACAGGTATCAATAATTATATTTTTACTCTTTCAACTTTTAATTCTATTTTAATCTTTTTTTTTTCAATATTATTATCAATCATTTAAATTACTCTGAGTGAAGGAAAAATTAAAAAAATTTAAAGGATTATGCCGGAATATAACTTATCAAACGGATTGGTAATTTACAGGTAGTATGCTAGCATATTATCAATAATTATACAATTTGACTCTTTCAACTTTTAATTCTATTTTAATCTTTTTTTTTTTTCAATATTATTATCAATCATTTAAATTACTTCTGAGTGAAGGAAAAAAAAAATTTAACTTTTCAATCTTATAAAATTATTTTTAGAATGATGAATTCAAGAAAGCTGAAGTAGCAACATTTTATGGACGTATTGATGAAGCGGAAAAAATTTACATGGAAAATGATCGACGTGATTTAGCACTTGAACTACGAGAAAAAATGAATGATTGGTTTCGAATTGTGGAAATTTTACAACAAAGTAAACAACCAGGTGATGATGAATTATTGATGAAAGCATGGAATCATGTTGGTGATTACTATGCTGAACGACAGAAATGGTAAGTTTACCTGAGATGGATGCAAAACGAATTTAAAAGTTTTTTTTTTTTTCCTTTGAAGTCAACAATATTTGATTATTTTTTAAGTTAGCAATGTTTACTTAGTGATAAGCTGTAAA